ATAGCAGTGAGTCCACCTGAAGCCTGCGTGCCCAGGTCAGAGTAACTCACACCCAAGTTCCGTCTCTACAACTAAAACCTTCAGACTAGGACAGTGTTTGAATAACAATCATATATTTTGTGTATTCTGTTCCTAATTTGACAGTGCTTTGTCTTGTCCTTTATGAGCCATTTCACATTAATTTCCATACAAACTGAGCTCAGCTTGCCTTTACCTCAATTGATTGCCAATAAAAGCCAGTGCCTAGGGCCGGGGATTTAGCTCAGTGTTGCCGCCCCTGCCTTGCAAATGTAAGGTCCTGAGTTTGGTCCAAGGTATACCACAAAAAAGTAAAAGCCAGTGCCTAGGACTGGCCAGGGCCTTTGTCGGTTGCACCAGCATTGGTGGCCCTGGCCCCCACTTTCTCCCCTAGTTCTGTCTCTTACTGTATTTTTTTCTCAGGCCTGCATCGCATACTGGCAGGTAGGGACTGGAACCTGACTACAGGGGTCTCTGGCAATTGGTTCCCAATGTGGGGTTTGAACCACAAGCAATCACCTGCTCAGTGAGGCTACTCAGAATAAAAAGGAAAAAAGAAAAAAAAAAGAAACTATGACACAGTGCACCTCGCATCAAGATAAGGAAGTCCAAACGGGAAGCAAAGCCTGGAAAAGGAGATCTGTGCTTCAATTACTTTGGGAAAGGTAGTAAAGGTAGTAATGGCTTTCGGCCTAGGCTGGCCTGCAGTGCTGAAATAAATGCTGCAAAAGATAGTTAAATAGTCACTGCTTTTCACGAACAAGAACTTTAGATATGGAACTTAGGGAGCATGTGAAAAATAACATCCAGACAGCTCAACGAAGAAAAGTTATCTCCCTTGAGACTTTAACTGAGCCCTTGACCCCTTGGAGCCTTGGGCGCTCTATTTTGGGGCCGAAATAACCAGCCTGGAGCCACTCAAGCCTCTGTCCTGAGGCACTGCACCCCGGTGAGAATGGTCTAGTTCTGGTTGTGGACCAACTGCTTGCCAATTCTGCTGCCTTTCACACTTCGGACATGTCTCTCTCAAGCAAACCCTGGCCGAGCTGCCTCCTCCTTGACTTTAGTTGCTAAGATCACAGGCACCGTGGAGGTGGGGCAAAGACAGGACAGCTTGGCCTCTGAGAGCCAGGAAGTGCAGGCGGACACACTGTGGTCACAGGAGGAGTCAGAACTAACCCTCCAATTGGAAAGAACTAAAGTGAAAAAATAGGTGATGGGTTAAAAACAGCTAGGAAAGCTCTGAAGAGCATAAAGCAAAATAGAAACAATGCTCCTGGCTTTAGGAGCCCCAAGGCCAGCGCTGAGTTACTGGCCTGATGCTGCTGCAGAGGTCTGGATCCAAAACAGCCGGGGTTCTGCTGTACATCTCAGCAACCTAAGTGCTGCCCTCGAGACACAGGACGCAGTCCCTGAGGCCTAGACCTCTCCAAAGCCTGTACCACTTGAGGCTCACTGAGAGTTACCATCCTAGTGGGGCATGCAGGTGCACCCCTGTCATGGCAGCACTCTGCAAGGCTGAGGCAGGAAGATCCCAAGTTCAAACCCAGCCTGGACAATGCAATGACTGTGATCCTGTTTCAGAGTAAAAAGGGGGAGCAGAAGGGGTGTAGCTAGGTGCCCAGGAACCTGTGTTCAATCCCCAGTGCTGTAACGAATACTACTAGCCTGCCAGACACAGTGTCACACACCAGGATTCCCAGCCCTGCGCAAGGCGGGGGGAGCACAAGTTTGAGGCCAAGGGGCAACTTAGCAAGGCTCTGAGGGTAAGGATGCAGCTCAGTGGTAGCGAGCCCCGGGTTCCGTCCCCAACGCACTGCAGCCACGCTGCCTGTCCTGCTGCCCCCGTCTCACCGTGAGTCTCGAGTACCCGGTATTTTTGGCAGGTCCAGGCTGGCATGGGTTCCTGAGGCCTGGTGACAGAAATAAGCACAGTGACTGAAGGCCACAGAGAGCCGAGGTGCGGGGGGCCAGACCAGGGTCAGAGGAGTCTCAGAGGGTGCGCGGGAAGCCCCGCCCCTGCCTGTCCCGCCCCTCTGCCTCCTGAGGCCTTGCCCTTCACCCCGCGGAGGGCTCAGCCTTCTCCCAGGAGCCCACCAGAGGCAGGGAAGCTGGGACCCCGCACCCCACTGACCAGGGCTGGGGAGGATGGGCGGCCAGGCTTGGGGTCTGCGGCCCCTACAGGGGGGCTGCCCCGCCTGGAGGTTGGGCTGGAGGGAGCACTGAGGCCAGGTGTTCTGTCTCCCTGGCCCTGGATGCGGCTGCGGCAGTGGCAGCTGATGGAGTTGCACCCGCGTCGGCCCAGGCACCTCGGGCTCTGGCTGTGGCTGGGGTTTCTTCTCAGATCGATGTTCCTCCTCCTTCCGGTCTTTCTTCAGCTCCTGGCGAGAAGCCCCCACAAGCATCACCTCCTTCGCCCCCACAGCCCCCGCCGGGAGGACGCTCGCGGGGCACCAGCGTCCTGACTGGAGCGCTCGGCGGGAGGACAGTGTCGTCCCTGGCAAATACTCTGCTGCCGTGCTGCTCAGTAATAGTGTCCGCCGGCGCGTGAGCAACTCTAGTTGCTGACAGCCACAGGGGACATCGGAAGAGCCAGGTGAGCTGACTGATTTAACCAGCTATCCAAACCTGGATCAATATGAAAATATTAACTGATATTTTCTTTCTTTCCTTTTGGTACCGGGGATCGAGCTCAGGACCTTGCGCTTGCGAGGCAGGCAGCGGCACCACTGAGCTAAGTCCCTGGCTTAACTGATATTCTCTATTTTTTGTTTTCATACTAAGTCTTCAAAACCCGACATGCATTTTACACTTACTAGCACATCCTCATTTGGACACTGAGCCAGGTGTGGTGTCATGCACCTGTCACCCTAGCACTCTGGGAGGCTGAGGCAGGAGGATCGGAAGTTCAAGCCCAGGCTGGAGAACTTGGAGACTTAGACTCTGTCTCAAAAAACATCTTTTTCTTAAGCAGGGTCTTGCTATGTAGCCCAGGCTGGCTTCAAACTCAAGATGATCCTCCTCCCTCAGTCTCCCAGAGTGCTGGGGTTAGAGACATGCACCTCCACACCCAGCTGTAAAATTTTTTTGAGTGCTGAAGATGTAGCTCAGTGGGAAGGCCCTGGGTTCAATCCTCAGTACCCCCACACCATGCCCAGCAACTGTTTTCCTCTTGCATTACTGGGAATGAACGCAGGGGTGCTGAACCACTGGGCAACATCCCCAGCCCTGTTTTTTGTTTCAAGACAGCATGTAGCTCAGTTGCCCAGGCTGGCCCCACAGGGATCACCACCACTCTGGCTTCATCAACAATATTTTATCTATATTCAGATTTCACATAATTTACAGCCAAACAAGTAGATTCATATACCCAAATTGCGCCAAATGTACTTCAAATTTTTAAATATGTCAATTGAATATTTACTCTAATTTTGTATTTAAATGTATATAAAATATAAAATTTAGGCCCTCCCTCTCAATGGCCACAGAGGAGGGCCCCTCAGCACACAGGCCGGTGGCCATTGAGGGTCAGTGACAGCAGGGACAGCTCAGCTACTTCACAGCCCCCCAGGCGTGGGCTGGGCACATGATGAGAGGAGCGGCCTGTGGTGCGTGAGGTCATGGGTTCTATCCCCAGCAGGGGAAACAGAGTCTGATAGCAGACAGCCGAGCCCAGGCAGAGGGCAGCCCCTGAGGGCTTTGTCTCCCTCCCTCCTGTTTGAGGCCTCATGGGCCGGGTCCCTCATGCACCTGCTGCTCCTGCTGAGCCAGCAGCCTCTGCCTCCAGTCCAGAGCCATCTGCTGGCTTAGGGCCTCCCAGTGGTAGGTGCTGCTCATGCTGGGGCCAGGCAGGGAGAGCCCAGGACCCCACCCGCCCCCGTCTTGCCCTCCCTTGGGCCCAGCCCCTAATGCAGCCTGGGCCACCTTACAATGCGGACTGGGCGGGGCTGCTGGGGCCCTTCCCTCCTCAGCCTGGAGACCCCATGGGCCCAGACCCAACTCCAGTTCCGCAGCCGGCCCAGCTAGTTTTCCTCTCAGCAGCAGCACCTGGCCCTTTCCTCCATCTCCTCTTCCTTTTTTTTCTTTTGTTTTGTTACAGGGTTTCAGTATGTAGTTCAGGGTGGACTCAAGCTCAAGGGGATCTCCCCGCCTCAGCCTCCTTAGTGTTGGGATTACAGTGTCCCCGTCCCCCCCCCCCAGCTTACCTCCTAACCCTTGAAGCCTTTCCCCTCCCTCAGTGTACTGGCTGAGTCTACATAAAGAAAAAAAAAATAAACACAGAATCCGGATAACCTTCACTGACCCTTGGGACCAGGCTCAAGCAGAGCCCACCCACGCAGTGGAGTGGCTCACGATTTGTTGTCAGATCCGAGTTCAGTCTGGCTTGGGGGCCTGGGTTGGCCCCTCGGTGTGGAGTTTTCCCTGAGGAAGTGTTGAAGACTCCAGGAGATGCATGGCAAGCGCCTGCCTGGACTGAGGCACCGAGTTGGGGCCTGGGGGTCCGGTGCGACCTCTCAGCCCTGCGGTGGGGGCTGGCAGGGTGCTGAGCCCTGCTGGATCTTGCTGCCGAAACCACTGAGCTAAATCCCCGGCCCCTCGTTCTCTTTTGGTAAAAGCAGTGTTAGTGCCCATCATGGTGGTACAAATCTGTAAACAGTTATATGGGAGGCTGAGGCAGGAGGCTCAAAAGTTTGAGGCCAGCATGGGCAATTTAGTGAGGCCCTGTCTCATGAAATAAAAAATAAAAGTGGCGCTGGGAGTGTAGCTCAGTAGGAAGGTTCTCGATGCAATCCCCAGCTTTAAAAAGAACAATAAACCAGGGGCTGGGGGTGTAGCTTAGTGGCACTGCCCCTTCCAGGCATTCCCAAGGTCCTGAGTTCGATTCTCCCACACTCAAAAATAAAACAAAGCACTATGACAATATATATGCAAATGTAGGTACATCCTCCACATGTGTGAGTGTATGTTTCTGTCTTCCAGGAGCCGGGAGCAGTTTCAGTTGTGGAATCAGAAACTCCCAGCTCCACATAGAATGGCATCCCTTATCATCTAATAAAACTGAAAAATAACACAAAACCAAATAGATCGAGAGCTGCCCCATGAGGCAGCATCACTGGAGAGCCTCTGCACACACAGCTAGCCATCAAACTGCACTGGGCCTCAGGACGGAGGAATCAAGGAGGACACCGAGCAGAGCAGCACATGGTCTGTGGCTGAGAACCTGCTCCCTTCCTTCCATTTCTCATTCTTGTTCCTTGCGCATCTGCCACAGTGGTCTGCTTAAATCCTTGGACAAGAACTGAGAATGTGATTGCACCAAAACAGCAGCCTAGAAATTCAGGCTGCATGAGGACAACTACAGCAAGGACACCATTACTTAAACATGTAACTCTTCCAGCTCAAGATCAAAAAGTGAAAACCAAATAAAAGTGACACCGTGGGCTCTCAGGTTTCTCAGGAGACTCATGGCACTGCATGGTGTTGGACAGACAGGTGCTGTCACAGTGCAGCTTGACTGTCAGGCACACAACCTCGATATCACTCTTAATTTGGCAGAGGCAGCAGGCCATGTGGCTCAGCAAGATCCTGCGGGCAGAGCACAGAGAAGCAAATTAGCAAAAGGGCTCCTGCAGTGGCAGGAGACACAGGCCAGGCCCCAGGGCCATGCAGAAAGGAGCTCTGAGTCTGGCCAGGCCTGGCACTGGGTGGGCACCTGGGGGCAGAGTGCTGTTCAGGAACACTGGGGATCCTCAGGAAGGAGGCCAAGGTGCCCCACAGAAGGCTAAGCCAGGCCCACAATAAAGGTCGGACATGGGCTCTGGGGCCAATGTGCAGCTTCGTTCAGGACCATCTCTCCCTGCTGGAAGGGCTGGCTGTGATGGGCATGCACAGGGAGACAACAGCCTTCTGTGCAGTCTCAGTGAGGCCCTGTCCTCATTGCCGTTAGGAGGAGGAAACACTGCACCTTCCTCTGGGCAGAAAAACATTTCAGTTCTACCTACATTGTGCTGTTCAGCAACTGCAGAGACTGCAAGGGTCAAATCAGGCCCCTGTGAGCATTCAACATGTGAGAAGGGCTGGGGCTCAACTCAGGGCAGAGAGCTTGCCTGGCATGCCTGAGGGTCCAGGTTTGATCCACAGAACCACAGAGTAGAAAAGGAAGGAAGGGAGAGAGAGAAAAGGGGAAAATGTAATGTGGAGAGGAACCTGCAAATTCATAATGATCCTCAAAAAGAAAAGTGTGACTTCTCTAATAGAGCAGTGGCAGCTAACAAGTGAAGAAGGAAAGCCAGAGTTGGAAACTGTCATTTGACAGTCACCCGTGTAACAGTGGATCAGACAAGGGTCATGGCAGATGTGCAGATGGATAGGAAGATGCTTAAGGTCGGATCTTCACTGATCTCAAGTTCTTACCCCTGGGTTATTTCTCTGGTGCTGAAGAGGACCATCACCACCACGAGGACCCCTGGAGAATGGCTGGGGAGGCAGCTCTGACTGGGGAAGGGCAGGCAGCAGGTTGGGAGGGTCTGAGTGTGGGGTTGCAGGAGCTCTGGGAGGAGCACAGATCGGAAACCCAGGGGTGTGCACATGGCATCAGCCAGGGAGGTGACAGGTGCAGGACCCAAGCAGCCTGCTGGCCAGGCCTCTTCCCACAAGAGCTGCGTGGCCTCCCTCCCCTCAGCTCTTGCACCTCCAGTTTCTCTTTCCTGAGCCTGGCCAGTGTGGGCCAGGGCAGTCATGGGACACGCAGCCGTCACCATGGGCCCCACAGAAGCTGCAGTTCAATAAACACCTCACACATGGAAATGACCCCTGCCTGCATCACACACACACTTCTTACCTCAGTACTCAGGCTGACATGGAGACCCAAATTCCCTCCCAGCCAGGGAAACCAGCAACTGAGACCTTGAGTCAGAAAGAACACTCAAGGGCTGGGGATTTAGCTCAGTTTTTCTGCCGCCTGCCTCCCAAACTCAAGGTCCTGAGTTTGATCCCCAGTACCCAAAAAAAGGAAAGAAAAACTCAAAAGGCTGCCATAGACCTAAATCTAACTATCCAATTCTGGGAGGAACAAAAGAAGAAAACCTTTGCACTGTGGGTAGACAGTGTGTGTTTAGACAAATATTTCTCAGAAGACACAGAAAAGCACAAATCAAGCAAGAACAACCTGCTACATTATACTCTACCAAAGTTTAAGAATTTAAAATTTCTGTTCTTCAGAAAAGAGAACCCACGACTAGAGAAAAGATATTTACTGAACACTGGCCAATGAAAAAGGATGTGTATCCAAGGTACAAAAAGCACAGAGTCTCGTTTCAGTTTTGAGACAGCATCTTGCTCTCTAGTCCAAGCAGCCCTCAACCTCACTATGGAGCCCAGGCTGGGCTCCAGCTCACAGGATCTTCCTGCTTCAGCCTCCCAGAGTGCTAGGATTATGGGTGTGGGCCACCATGTCCGGCAGCAATTGCAGTCCTCACACATCGCTGCCAGGATGTACTAAATATTACACTAAGTGAACAAAAGGGAGACAGGGAAGACCACTACTGTGCCATCCATCTGTACACTATGCTGGGAAAGTGAAACTATGTGGTCCGCAGGAAAGACTGGCTGTTTTCAGGGCTGCCAGTGGGAAATCAGCAGGAGAACAGTGAGGGCTACACCACTGTTCTCATTCACCCAACTCTACAAGGGAAGACTGAATTTTACTAAATGGTAGTTAGACCTCCAGGAACCTGACTTAAGAAACTAGTAAAACAGGCCCCGCTTGGTGGCCCACATGCCTTTAATCCTGGTACTTGGGAAGCTGAGGCAGGCAGATTGCTACAAGTTCTATGCCAGCCTGGGCTACACAGTGAGAGCTTGTCTCAACACCCCCACCAAAAAGGAAAAAAAGAAAAAAGAGTAGTAAAACAAATGTAATACAATGAAAACAAAGTAAAATAAATCTAGAAAAAATAACTTGCAGTTTTTGCAACTCCAGAGTCATGGTGAGGATGTTCTCCAGCACTGCATGGGGCACATGTGTTGCTTCCAAGTCTCTGCAGGAGAAGAGAGATGGTCACCCTGGAAACACCCTGCACTGCAGCAGGCACTTCACAGATGTCTGAGGATTTTGCTTTTGCCTTCCTGGTGAAACAAGACAGTGAACGGGTGTATTTATCACAGAAAATAATCCCAGAGACCTCTTTAGGAAGAAACGTAATATTTGCATCACCAAATTCATGGCCTTGACATGCACTAGTAGAGCCTGTATTTAAGTCATCCTATTTAATTTATTTATTTATTTTTCATCCTCTCATTTTCATATTGTATTTCCCTGTCCCTCTTCCTGCCTTTTGGCCTTTTGATAACAGTGCCTCTGCTTTTGGGGTCAGAGACAGCCCTATCCCCTGCACCTCTTCCAGGTCCTCATGTCCCCAGCACCACTCTCTGCCCTGTGAACTACTCTCCTACCATCAACATCAGTTCTTAACCCTTCCCTTTGCTAGTAACTTTTTTCCATAACCTTAGTAAAATTAAAATTAGATTCAATGCAGAAATACTTCACCTTTGATGGAAGGAAGCAAGAAGGGCAGAAGCCTGAGAATGACTTAGATGAGTACTGTAATACTTACAGGTGTTTTAATGCTGGTAATTTAAAAAAAGATGGATCTTCGATAGTTGTCAGAGGGTTATTGTTGAGGACTCTGAAAAATGCAATGGAATTAAAATTATCTATAGTTTCAACATGCATGAGACTACATGAAAAGTTTAAGGCAATGCTAGACCCACACACAGCACCCTGGGACACCCTGGGCAGAGCCTGCAGCATGGAAGGGCTTCTAAACCACTGGGTGCCCACCAAGCTAGCCGAGTACAGAATTCCAGGCCAACCTGAAAAACAATGTTGACATTAAGCATTTGTTCAGAAAAGTCATCAAATAAACAGGAACTACTCCTACCTAACAGGCAACATGAGCATCAAACCTTGGGGGGGGGTCTCATTTCCAGAATTCCCACAATCATTATAGTCTTAAAATTGTACAATTTTCAACCAAAATTGATGAGACCCAAGGAAATAAAGTGTGACCCATAAATGAGGGTAGGAATAGGGGTGGGGAGAGAAAAATCTCCCTGAAGCAGCCCAGACACTGGACTTTACTAGACAGAGCTTTAATTCACCAGTTTAAAATATGTTCAAAGACAGGGTGTGGCGGCACCTGGGAGGCCGAGGCAGGAGGATGACACATTCAAGGCCAGCCTGGGCTACATGGTGAGTTCCAGGACAGCTTGGACTGCATTGCCAGACCTGGCCCTCAACAACAACAGCAACAATGACAAAATGTTCAAAAGGATAAAGAAAAACATCTAGTCCTGTAGGCTAAAGAAGAAAGGAAAATTGAAAGAAACATAAAGTCACTCCGATTCATGTCCCCGAAGTGACCTCTCTGTACCAGGCTGAGGACTCCCCACCCCGAGTCTGCCCTTGAGGGATAAACACCCTAATCTGAAGTATTTGGACAAGGACTCTGCCCACTCCCAACCAGACCCAGGAGCGGACTCCTGCTGAGACACATCCCTTGCTGCCATGCGGCCGCCTGTGTGCAACACGCTATATAACCGGCGGGGAAAGGTGGACTTTGGGAGACTTAGAGCTGTGTGCAGGGCTTGCACCCAGTGGGACTCAACCAGTTGGGTTGGGATTTTCTGGTTGTCCTTGGGTGTTGAGCAGAGTGGCTGTCCCAGCTGGTCACGTGTTGTGTTACTTCTACCTGTCCTATTTCCTTTTACTGTTCTTACTGCTTAACCCTGTAATAAATCTGTCTTCATTCGTGCTTTCATGTGGCTGATGAGACTTTCAGGTTTGATCCTCAGTCTAAGGGGTGCACCTGGGTAGCTTGCTACAACAAATAGGAGAAGGATATCTCAAACAGAGAATACCAAAAGAGAAAAAAATGATAAAAATAAGCCAGACAGAATTGTGGCTGTGAAGTGTATGGTAACTGAGATGGAAATTCTCTGGAGCATCTCCATGGCCAGGCTGAGTTGGCAGAAGAATTGAGGACGTGGAGGTCCACTGAGGTCACTGAGCCTTCAGAACAGAAAGGAAGAAAATGAAGGCATATGGAGGCTCAGAGACTTGTTCATAGGACTCCATCCAGACATGTAGCTCAGACCCAACAAACAAAGAAAGGAAGGAAGGAAGGAAAAAGAGAGGAAGAATTACCAAAAACCTCTCAACTTAATGAAAAACACTACCTTTCAAAGAGCTCCTGGAACTTCAAATAGGGAAAACCAAAGAGATCCACAGCTAGACACAGTCAAAACATTAAAGTCAAAGAGAAAATATCTTCACAGTAGCGAAAGAACGCAATTTAGCATATGACAGGTGTGTTGGATGGAGTGGGTTGGCAGTGTACTTGTGCCAGAGGAGGTAAGGGTGTGGGAAACCTGGCCAGTGAAGTAAGCATGACCTGTTAATCCCAAGATCCTGGAACACAAGCACAGAACAGTTCCCAAAGCCCTGCACACAGGGTTCTCACAAGAACTAGAGCATGTTTTTAATAGGATGACTAGACCTGACACCAGCCTGAGGCGAGGGACCCCAACACTGCCTCTCAGGACTGTATGTGGAAGTTCTCACAGGTTTTCTGGAGATTTGGGCAGTGTGAAAGGACACAGGCACCAAGAGCAGCTTGCTGTCATGGCTTTGCTCATGATAGCCCACCTGCTTTCTCCAGAGTGTTCTTCTGTCTTGCTTTTTCCTCTTTTGCTTAGTCCAAGCTCACTCTCCAGAGCCACTTTCTCACTCTTCACTTTTACTTTTTAAAATAAAATTTTCCTTTTTTTTTGGTACGGGGGCTCGAACTTGGGTCCTTGCACTTGCGGATCAGGCAGCGGAACCCCTGAGCTAAACCCCTGGCCCCTTTGCCCCTTTTTGGGGGCTCATTTTGGCCAATTATTTGTTCAAGATGAGAAGAACCTGGTATCAAACTCCAGAAGGAAGCAAGTAACCCAGAATTAGGTAAAGTTGATTTGGTGAGATATTTTAGAAGCAACTATCTGATAACATTTTGGCATAGTTATCCAGGAGAATCAAGAGCCAAGAGATTCTGATAACCCTGGCACAAGGCCTGGATTCAGTCCCCAGGGTACACACACACAATGGTGAGGCACTCACACACAGTGCAGGAGGGGAGGGGAAGCCTCCTAAGATTAACAGCTCATTTCTCATCAGAACAATGGAGAGGAGGAGAAGGGCCCGATGTGCTTGCTCACACCTGTAATCCCTTCACTCAGAAGGTGAGGCAGGTGGATCGCCAAGACTTCAAGACCAGCCTGGGCTACATAGTGAGTTTACAGCCAGCTTGAACTGCATAGCGAGAACTTGCCTCAAAAAAAAGAAAGAAGAAGGTAGTAGGTGGCATATTTGAAGTACTGAAAGAAAACAAAAATATCACTTTTAAAATAAGGGACAAAATAAGACAGTCTGAGATAAACAAAAACTGCTGAGAGATTGTTAGTAGAAGATAGGAGTGCACATTTGCGCCCAGGCTGACCAATTTAGTTACTTAATGAGACCTGTCTCAAAATAAAAATTAAGGCTTGGTGATGCTGCTCAGGGTAAAGACCCTGGAGTTGAGTCAACAGTACCACAAAAGGAAAGAAAGAAAGTGGGCTGGGGATTTAGATCAGTGGTGCCACCACCTGTCTCAAAAGCACAAGGTCCTAAGTTTGATCCCTGGTACAAAAAAAAAAAAAAAAAGAAAGAGAGGAAGGAAGGAAGGGAGGGAGAAAACTCTAGCGTTGACATCCTATCTAGATTGGCTGCCCAGAAGAGCCTGGGCAGGAACTCCAGAAGTGTCAAATCCTTAGAAGGAAACAGAGCTCTGCTTCGAAGATCCTACTCCAGTCAGAAAACTACCTCAAGGGACAAAGCACCAAAAGCCAGATTGCTACCAGGCAGCCCCGACTACAGTGGAACAAAGCTGCATAGAAAGTGTTTGTCAAGCCCCCGAGTGACCTGGCACTTATTCGCAGTGTGAATAGCCCTGGAATCTGGGTCTTTGGGGTCAACTTTCTCCTCTGCAGAGCAGAGGCCATGACACCAACACGGCAAGACATGCTTTGACAACAAAAATGCAGTAACAAGTTTTGAGGATTCACCATGGGTCAAGCAGGAGTCTGAGAACTGCCAGCCCATTATGTGACCTGTGAATACACCTAACGTCAGGCCTGGAGCATCCTAAACACCTCCCAGGTGTAGCTATTGTGGAAATGCCATGGCAGGGGAGGAAGTCCTGAGCTTCCGACAGCAGAGGAGCCGACTCACTGTCCAGAGAGGATGAGATGCAGCTGGGAGAAGAGGGGCACTACAGATATGGGGCAGGGCACCCTCCAGCTTCAGAACCATCAGAAAATGAAACCGGCAACTGGGTCAGCCTGAGGGACACACTGGGGTGCTGTGTATGTCTCTAGTGCGGTGCCTCTGGATCTGAGCAGATGCAGCCAGGGCTCCAGGGTGGATCTGCAGTGATGCCAGGGCCTGAGTGGCAAACTTGTGCTGTTCCCTTTGGCATCCCCAGGAAAGGAGGCCAGGCTGGCAGGAGCCAGAAGTGTCCTGGGAGGGCAGGTCCAAGGCAGCTCTCTACACCGGGGCTGGGCGGGCCTGGGGGGTTTCTGCAACAGGGAGAAAGCTGGGTTCTCCTCTTTTGCTCCTCAGTTCTTCCATTCCTGGCATGATACAGACGCTCGAGAGTGTGGCTGAGTCAGGGAGCTGGGATTGCAAAGCCTGTGCTCTCTAAACACATGGAGCCTGCATGCTTAGGATTGAAGTGAGCAAAAGAATTTGCAAACATAGCCACCGGTCTGGATTTCATGGGTGAGTGAAGGGAAACACTTTAAAGTAGGGCAGCTGGGCATGGTGGCTGAGACCTCTAATCCAAGCACTCTGGAGCCTGAGGCAGGAGGATTGCCAGGAGTTCAAGGCCAGCCTGCTTCAAAAAGGTACAAAAAAGGTACAAGAGGAGGGGGCTCTTGCAATGGGGAAATGATCCAAGGGAACAAGGTGATGGGTGAGCAGAGGGGCAAGTGGAAATAAGATGAATAAAGACATGCCATGTATGGGAGCCCCAAAACCCCAATTAATGGAAACATTATAGGCCACACCATGAGCTAAGACAAAAAAATGAACAGGAATGAAAAATGGGAGAGGGAAACTGGAGGAAGATTAGGAGGAGGAGGGGGTGGAGCAGAAGGAGATTAAAAACAAGAAGGGAGAAACGTGCTGTAAGGTGTACATGTAGCCACTCCCCAAGACCAAAGTAAACTAAAGGAAATGCAAATATGTACAAATACAATAGAGACATATTTTTTTAAAGTAAGGGGGAAAAGTATCCTTCACAATCAGGATTATCCCCCACCACTGCTTTTTTGTGACATAGTTCATTAAAAGAGTCACGGCAAAAATTTTTTTTAAAAAAACAGAGTTATGACTAGGCCAGGGATATTGCTCAGTGGTTCTGGCACCTGCCTCGCAAGTACAAGGTCCTGAGTTTGATCCCGGGTACAGAAAAAAAAGAGTTATGACCATTCCATCCCTCCGAGTGGTACTTTATGAAGAGTTCTTGGCAGATTTTAGCAGTGGATTTCAGAATCAAACAGGCTCCCCCAATTCGAGCTGACCGCTGTCAGTGTTTGGCAACAGCACCAGGGTTTCAGTCAGGAGATTTATTGGCTTGTAATTCTCTGGGACACAGGGAAAATGCAGACTGAATGCAGGCTGAATTCATCTACTTTGGGAAGTGCCCTCAAATAAAAACCTGTATTAGGTATGAAGGTACAAATCAGCCCAGTGAGCAGGCAGGATGGGGCCTGTGCAGGGGAGGAACACGGATGGCAGGCTCCATTCCATCAGTGATGAATCTACCACCTCTGGCCCAGGAAAAGGATTTCAATGTAGAAACACCCACGGTGACAGTGCCAGGTCACACTGGCTGCAGGAGTCCTGGCTTCTTCCCTTGCCAACTTACCTTTGTGAAGAGATGCACGAGGTGCCTGTCTTACTGTGGCAGAAGTGAACTCAGCTTTGTGAATAGAAACACTTGACCCAAAACAACAGTGCCTCAAGCCAAACACCCACCTGGTGGGTTGTGACCATTGTGCCAATCTTTTCTGTTTTCAAGAGTGGTCTTCCCTATGTCACCCAGGCTGTGGGGTCCAGCAGTCCTCCTGCCTCAGCTTCCTGAGTAGCTGGGACTACAGGTGCATACCTGTAGTATAACTGGCTCACCATGCCAATGTTGGGAAGTCACCAAATTAGTTTTCCAGGTACAGCTCCATTGAGATCACATAAGTATTAATGTCCCAAACCAGTCAGCTCCTATCATCTCATCACCCGGAAGCAAAAGCTTTCTCTCTTAGAAGACAATAACTTCCTGGTTCCTCCATGATGGGTCTTTTCTAGATCACTCACCTGTGCTTAAATTCAAAAGCAGACCCTGCTGGGCGTGGTGCTCCACACCTGTCATGTCAGCACTTGGGAGAGAGGTGGGAGGATCCCTGGGAGTTCGAGCCCAGCCTGGGCTCCACAGTGAGTTCCAGGCCAGCCTGGACTGTATAGGAGACCCTGCCTCAAACACACAAACACCACAGACCCTCAGCACTCTCACCCCCAGTTAGGCACCAGCACATTGAAGAGAGGGAGAGGAGGTTGTTACAGATGAGGATGCAGATGCTGTTAAGCCAACCCTGGACACATCCTAACCTCCATCCAGGGAATTAAAAATGAACTGTGTGTGCCTGGATTTCTAATCCCCAACACACACAGATGGTCTGTTCTCAAATGGAGTCGGGAGAATTTGCACAGGGTCTACAGTTCCCTTTGGGCCACTGAGTATCATAGCATTTTTCAGGTGAAAGGGAGTAAAGCCCACACTCCCTGCTAAGCACAGTCAGAAAGTACATGGAAATGGGCGACAGCAGCACACTTTCTTACAGATGCTCTTCACACCAGCACTCAACACAAACCTCGTCCTTCCACATCTCAAGGCTCCCACTGCCCATGGATAATTCCTAGTTCAAGACCCAGACACTTGTTGAGAAATAAGTCTCTGGGTGGCTGGGGAGAGAAGGGCCCTGCAGCAAGCTGCCAGAAACACCTTCTGCTCCCCATTTAGAAGACCCTGGCACTGAGAAAGCATCCACAGCTCTGGCTCCCCAGGGGATTTGTGTAAACTCTGGCTCTCGGCAGCTCCGTGTTGCATTTAAGGGGTCAGGAGCTCTGCAGAGAGCATGAATCAGAGTTCAGCTCCCAGGTGGCATTTCCAGGCAGGTGCATCTCAGAGCAGCCTCCCTGGCCGTGTGCACTTGCGAGCTCCTGGTGTGAGACCCGCTGTGCCCACGCCAAAGCCAGTCCTCGGATCGCAGAGTGTGAGGTCTGCAAGGTACACTGGGCTTGGGCCTCTTTGGCCTGACATCACTCACTGGAAATAATGAGTGGATCTTACAGCTGACTTTGCAGAGTTCATACAGGACACAGCACCAGTTCGGAAAGGACAGCATGAGGTTTTTAACACACATAGTTTTTGATTTTACATGTGTTTAGCTTTCATTTCACTTACACTTGATGTAAAAACTGCATCCTGTGCCATGCATGAAATGTTCCGTAGCTGATCTGAGAAACAAAATAGCAATGAAGATTTCTAAAACAAATTAAAAATAGAAAAAGACATAAACCCAACAATGAGAAAAAAGAAGAGGAGGAGGAGGAATTTTTCTAAAGTTTTACCATTTGGCAGTGATTCTAACTCATACACAATGAAACAACCTCACTACTTCCTGCATGCACTAGAGAAATCTCACTGCAGAACAATGCAACCTTATGATTAGACTTTCATATTTACACATGAGGCACACCACACAGGATGCGGTGAATGCTCAGGGAGAACGCATGTTGAGTGATCTGTCTTGCTCTACAACAGGGGATCCCAGCTCCTGTCCAGGGCTTTGGGGTGGGACAGGTCCTTGCTGTGGAGCTTTGTCTTCAGCGCTGCAGGATGTTCAGCAGCATCTGCTCAGCAGGTGCCCACAGCACATCCACAGCCACCAAATGTCACCTGGGGGCAAACCCACAGCTCCTGAGAACCATGAGGCCAGCACTCTACCTGTGCAGTGATCCTCACAGAATCTTAGCTAGGAAGGGAAAACGTCTGTATATAATTCAGTCACATTCAACCAGTGACATTTTCACCATGTTCCAATGTAAGTAGCCAGGGTGTGCATAAAGTTCAAAATATAATGAATTTGTTTGGAATGTACACAAACTGCAAAAAAGGCAGTGAGTCAAATGTCCCTCTTTCAATTGAATGTATTTTATTGCAGGATAAATCTCTAGGAAAAGGAAAAAGTTACCTCGATTAGTTGTTAGACATCTACTTGGTATGATAAACAGTACACCTCAGAGTTGATGCTACTGGACACATAATTTTTGTCCAAACTCTTAATCTTCACACTTGAACTTTCTGGAGACCCTGGGTCTGTCCGCATCTCTCCTAGAGTCTCTCCTTCATGATCTTCATAAATAAAACATGCAGCTATAGAGCTAGATAAACTTCAGAGGTAACCTTTTCTGACAGCAGGAGAATTTTTAGGTTGCCTTGTATTGTCTCATCAAATTCAAGATTGTGAGCTCAATGTTGTAATCTCTATATGCAATTTCTAATAAGGAGAGGCATGTTCTCATGTTTACATAGCTCCCTGGTTTTCTTCTGTTTTCTAAGCCAGTAAGTAAGAGATATCCATTTATATCACTTGAAATGCAGTTACTCTTCTCATTCATATGCAACACTGTGACTTAACTCAGATTTTCCTTCCTCTCATGGGAATGGCAATTCAGCTTTGGTTTCATATTGCCTTAATATTCTATGAATGACATTTACAGCTCTGGACCCCAGTGGACAAAGCATAAAAATCAAATTCTCATCCTAAAGAACAGTACATCTCATTTCTAAATGGACAGAAATAGCATCCAACTCTTTCCACCTTGGCAACAGGCTGGAGAGAGTTTTGATTTGGAATTAGTGAAGAATTGGGGGCATTTCTGATGTGCTTACTGAGGGTGAGCCTGTCTAGCTACCCCATTTCTCCACCATTTCAGGTATCTGTTGTGAACATGGGTGTGAACAATTCCTACATTGAAATCCTTCTTCCAGCAGCTTAATCATCTGCATCATATTATTTATATGATTTATCTGCCTACTTAACTGTTCAGTATTGAAGTGTTCATGTGATTCACATTAAATGGTCATGACTTTCTGGCTCAAAGACATCCAAATGTAAAATTTGAATGGTTTAGATTTTCTTCCCCTGAAGCTAACTTTATTTGTTCTACCAATCCAACTTTCTTGTAAATGCCAGAGAGTAAATATTTCCTGCTTTTCAGGCCACCTGTCATGGCACGTTTTGTTCACAGCACTTGAAAGTTTTGACACCATTCTGCACTTGCAGGCCAGATCAAAACAGGCTGTGGATTCGGCTTTGTCCCTAGGCTACAGACTAAATGTGACCAAAGCAGATGGCAGATGAGCACTCAGCAATCGGGTGTGAGTGGGCATCAGCCAGTGCTCAGGTCCTGCACCACTGCTCCTCTGTACCCAGGCTCTCCCACCTGAATCTTGTTTATGAAATTGAAAAACTGTAATGAGCAGGTGCTGTTTGGTGCTTGAGGTACACTGAGACAGCACTGACAAACACGGCTGCAACTTTACTGCTGGGAGAGATGGTAGGGTCAGTCTGACCTGTGCTCCCCACATGACATGGGGCACTCATGATCCCTGAATAGATACCATGGCCCAGCAACTCACAAGTACTGCAGGGACAGCAGGCCTGCAAAGGAGTCTTCTCATAATTCAGTCAGAGAGTTTCCACTGAGATTTCTGGAAAATGAAAAGGTTATTTCTCGATCAAATTTTGCAAAAAAGACACAAACTATATAGTAGTTAAAAGGAATGAGGAAATAAATGCTGTCTTATTCTGGTGTCCAGAGTGTAAACTGATGCAATATTTTTTAGGAGAATTAAAGTTTCATATCTAGAACAGTTGTCACCACAATCCTATTTCTAGATCTCCATTCTACAGAATGACTTAGCAAGGTTCACAGAGAGGCATGTACAGTGATGCTCACTGCATCCACACATGTAAACATGAAAACTGGACATATTCTGATCATCGGTCATAGGGGAATTGTTAAGCCCACCATGATGGATGCATCCTATGGAATACTATGCAGGAGTGTAAACGTGTATAGTGGCCCTCACCTATGGGGAAAAAGCCTGACACATCCCAGGAGAGAGCTTCAGGCTGCAGAGGGTTGAGGGTGCTCTGGCTGTGGCATCTGCCACCCCACGGATGGCCAGGGTCAATTCGGCTCATCTTGCTGGCCCGGTGGGTGTCCCCTTCCTCCCTGTCCACTTCATGTGGATCCCTTCCAGTGGCATTGGCTTGGTTGAAGGGGATGGCCACTCCTGAAAGAGCAGCACTGCTTCCTCCAGCAGGGTGTACGAGTAGCTGTGCTCCCCTGGTAGAACTTCCAAACAAGCTCTCAGGTGCCAGGCAGCAGAAACACTTGTTCTGCTGCATGTAAACCCCTATGTAGGCAAATATGGGGGGGGGTCTGGATAGATCTAAATTGAGCTCAGAGTAGTGGTTACCTAGGGGATGAGGAATTGGGAAACACAGGGCATTTTCCCTTCACTGCTGTTTCATTTTTACCCATTAAGGATGGAATCATGTTTATCTGTGTGACAGATGATGAACATTACTTGTTCCTTATTTCAAGGAGAGCCCACAAGACTTCTTTCTTTATTTTTTGCTGTGGTGCTGAGCATGGAACCCAGAACATCTCAGTCAGACCAGCAAAGTGTGCTACCACTGAGCACTCATCAAATTTCCTTCTCACCATAATCATGGAATTTCAAACCATTGAGGCTGATCCAGGACAGGGAGGGGGAAACCTATTTTCACAGGTATTGACATCTGAATTCTGGACCTAGAAGCTTATTGTGATGCAGATTTTCCAGTCTCTGTACTCATAGTTTCTCGACCCACTGGTATGTTCTCCAAACATTCTTATCAGGGAAGAAATAGAATTTCCTTGGAAATTTCTGTAAAGAACAGGAGAATGAAGAGACTATGTAAGAGAATCATGGTCACTTGGTGGGGAAATTTAACAACAGACAGAAAATACTGCCTCGTGATGCCCTGTGCTACCCACTTCTGGGTTTGCACAAAAAGGAAGTGTGTGGGCCACCTGATAGGATGAGATGGCTCCTCCACAAAAGTGAACATCTATCCTCTCCGTCCCAGCTCCAGAGAGGGTAACACCAGCCAAGTCCTTGCCATGTAAGTGGGCTGACTGTGATGGCTGCTGCTCAGGCCCCAAGTGACCAGCAGCTTTCCCTCACCATCACCATGTGATTCAATCCTCAGCAAGGACAGCACCTATGGTCTTCAGACTCTTCAGCACTAATGTACACCAGCTCCCCACTACCCTCCACCTTTAAAAGTTCTTTGCATATTTCCTTTCTTGTTTTGAGACAAGGTCTCATAAATCACTAAGCTGCCCGGGGCTGATCCTGAACTTGTGATCTTCTCATCTCAGCCTCCCAGGGTGCTGGAATCACAAGTGTGTACCACCTGACCTCTCCCTTGTGATGCCTTTTCCCTTGTCTTCCCCTCTGTCAGTTTCATGTTTGGGAGACATGGTCATCCTTCTATGGCTCCCACTGCATTAGGCCTGGGCTGGGCATGAAATGGATGCCATGTGTGCCAGGCCAGAAACACACATGAGCCTGGACAGCTCTGAAGGACTGGAGAGTAATATAAATAGCTGGGACTCGTGTATGTGCCCAGCTCTGGAGGAAGTGTGGCAGAGGCTCACTATTCTAGTTAGAGGCTCACCACCTATGAGATGGCACCTCCCACGATTCCCTTTTTATACATGAGGAAACAGAGTCACAGAGCCCAGTATTTGCCCATAGCAACAAAACAAGCAGAGGAACCACTGGGTACAAGTGGAGTACTCTGGTACCCAGTCCTGCCCTCTACTGTCCTCTTCCATGCTCTTCTTGCTTCTTCCATATTGGGATTGAACCCAAGCCCAGGCATGTGGGCCAGAACCACCCCTATGGGCCGGGATGGACCTCCATGCACCATGTCTGCCTCACAAGCAAAGGTCCTGAGTTCGATTCCTGGTACCAAAAAGAAAGAACTAACCTACTGGATAAGGGCAGCTACAAATGAAGGACTAGGAAAGGAGCACAGTGGAAAGGAGACCAGGGTAAGGAAAAGGTAAAAGCAGAAAGTCTGTCCACATGGGCTGGGGGTGGGAACGGCACAGGGACCTTGAGAAAAGGCTGCCACATCAGGGAGAGTGGGGCACACAGAGGAGGAAGGTGACACAAGATGGTGAAGTTCCTGCTGTGGGCACTGGGCTCAAGGGCAGGAACCTCGTGCAGCCTGCGTGTGGGGCCGAGATCAGTGAAAGACAGGGTCTCCTCCTTGCAGGAACAGAGCTCACCTATGTCCTTGTGTGTCATGCTGCTCTGTGCACCTAGCACAAAGCCTTCACCTCCAATGGTTGAGTGGTGACTTCAGTCAGGATTGGATGCTGAGCCTGAACCTGGTCTGGGCGTGGCAGCATCACCCGCATCCATGTTACAGGGGCTGTAGATTTCTGCAGGGATGGAGAGTGTGCAGCCTCTGTGGAGGGCACAGCAGTGCTGCTGGGATCCACGTGGGAAGGTGGGCCTGTGGCTGGGAGTGATGGGTGATGTTGAGTGGGCTCCTGACCAGGACTTGGAGCACCCATCTCAGGAGGCACTGGAGGTTGAGTGACAGACTCAGCTGGTCTGCAGGCACAGGTCCAACTGTGCCCAGAATCAGGTTTGGTGGTGGAAGTGTCACCTCGGCGGGCCTTTCCTGAACAGCTGCAGACCTCTGGAGGCCAGTAGGAAGTTCACCCTCTGCAGTGTGTACTGGAGTGATAGTGGCTTCCACATCCAAATAATCAGATGTGACGCTGGGCAATGATGGCAGCACAGCTTGGTTCTGCCCTTGGAATGAAACTGTAATATCATATTGGGCTGGAGGGGGAGCTACACTCTCACTGGGTGGCTCATGTGGATGCTGAGATGGGTCCACCGCCTGAGTCGGAGAAAGCTCTACCTCCTCAGGAGGTTCTAGGGGTGGAGATGGGGCCTGCTGGTGGTGTGGGGGAGGTTGAGCCTCCTTCCCAGCCGGTGTGGGCCTCCTGTTCTTCACAAGCACATTAACTGTGACCCCCAGCTCCTGTGAATGACACACTTCCCTCCTACCCAGAGATGGAGCTTTTACCTCCTGTGGCACTGACAGCTGCTCCACACCCTCCTCAGCAGCAAGGTCAGGCTGACCCTGGGTGGAAGAAGGTTTCCCTTCCTCAGGGCACTGTGAGAAAGGAGCTGTTGTTTCTTGCTGAGGAGAAAAGGATTGCACCTGGGGCATCTCTGGGTGGAGACTCTGGGCCTCCAGCTGGAATTGAGGTGTAGTTTGTGCAGGGGCCTCTGGAGGCTCTTCTGAGTTCTCCTGAGACTCCAGATCAAGGCTGTCATGCTCACCTCCATCCATACTTGTGTAGATATCCTTCTCTTGGGAGATTTGCTCCTGAAACTTAGGTTTTTCAAGTTGATGTGGAGTTCCAACCACCACCTCAGGGAGTTGCTGATGCCAATCCTGCTCCTCCTCGTTCAGGTGTGAAAGAAACTTTGCTGCTTTTGACTGCTGCCTGTCCAGAGGTACAAAAGGTACTTCACCTGCCTGGTGGCCTGCAGTGTGATGGAGCCAAGAAGTCTGGATCTTCCTTTTGAGGCAAGGAGGTAGAGCTAGAAATTGATTCTGACCCCCATCTACCATCAGAACCAGTTTTTGGAGCCTCTTTCACCTAGGTAGCTTGGCATTCAGACCTTGATGTGGGGCAGCAACCTTATCCAGCTGTGGGGACAGCTGTCCAGCAAACCTCTGAGATGGAGACAACATCTTGGTGGGCACTGAGGAATCCAGGTGAACAAAGCCTCCAGGGTCTTCTGGGGGAGTAAGAGCAGTGAGTGATTCAAGCAGGAGTTCAGAGTTGAGGGAAGAGGGCTTATTAGCTGCTAGGGGCTCAGAGTTCAGGTGAACTCGGTACGGGGGTCCAGTCTGGCTGTGGGACAGCCAGGATGGGCAGGTACATCTGTTGCCAGTGCAGCAACAATGTAGCCCAGAAACAAAGTGAAAACATGACAGCAAGGTTTAGTCACACAGATCTAGGCCAGTAGGGTGCTGACCCTAGGTCTGCTAGAAACTTTCTGGCCGCCACCTGTGTGGCAAGTGCCTTGGTAACAGTGCTCACCCATATTCTGCCACACCCCACCCTTTCTGTATGACATCATAGTGGAGGAAACCTTTCTCAGGGCTGCCCATCAGTGCCCAGGCCTCTCTTTCCCTTAAAAAGTGACAGTGGCTTTTTGCAGGACCTCTTCATAGCAATGCCAAAGTGTGGTCTTCGGCCTGAACCAGCCATTGGGTGGGGTGGGGAAGAGCTTCCCATGGAAGTTAGGGCTTGGTCTTGGGATGCTCAGAAGTGTTGCAGCAGAGAAGAGCAGTTCTGGGCTATAGCCAAGTGTTACAACTCAGTGTGGTGGCTCTGAAACACAGCTCTGAGGCACAGCTGAGCTTTATTGCTCAGTGTGGCAGCTCTGGGTCACAGGTCTCATTTTGTGAAGACTTGAGAATCTGACGGTCAGTTGAAGAGGTGGAGATAAGCCTTTTAGTATGCCAGTGAGCCCCAGTGAGCTCAGAGGAGTCTGAGCACTCTACCAGAAATGAGAGCCTCCTTATATAGGGACCCGCAGGGTAGGTGAGCATGCTCATTGAAGTGGGGGGGGGGCGGAGTTACAGAACATTCCTGACAGGGTCCAGAGCTCAACAGAACCTTCTTGTGAGAGGGTAGGGCTTAACAGAACATTCCTGAAAGGTCACACAGTTCAAACACCCACACACCACTTTGATACACTGGGCAGGAACCCAGCCACATAAACTTACATTTCCAAAACATTCCATGGAGAAAAAAAATGGAGGCAAGGCCAGGGCCTGTCTTACTGTTTAGCACTGCTCTATCAGAAGTGCTGGTCCAGCTCTGGGAACTGGAGCTCTTCCTCCTCCTCCCTGAAACCCAGAGTGAGTCTTCCTCCCCTTGGCTGCACTGCTTCCAAGCAAAATCAAGACCAGGTGGGGTGGAGGCAGGAGAGCACATCTGAAGGCGATTTCTTCCACAGTGTTGCCATTTGCTCTGAACTCAGTAAGGGTTCCATGTTTCAGAACTCACTCCTCTCTGTCAGATTCTGGCTTCATAGACATCCCCACTGTGGTGACTTCACAATTTCAAAGGGAGTTCGAAAATGGGGTGGAGACCATGGGACCAGTAGATACTTCAGATCAGAAGGCGGGGCAATTTTTATTCTCCAAGAACCACAACGCCCTGGGATACAATGAGCAAAGCTTCAGAGAAAGCACTGCAAGGCTGGCCATGTGGCTCAGTTGTGCTGCACCTGCCTCACAAGCCAAGGTCCTGAGGTCCACCCCGGTACAAATTTATTTTTCCCCCCATTAACTTTATTGGTACATTTTAGGTATACAATACAGTTACATTCATCATTGGGATCTTGTACCATTACATGAGTCTCTTGGT